CTGGGGACACAGGTCAGTGTGTCTCTCCCTGATCCCTCTGTGCCACAGCTACTCCTCTTAAATCTTGATTCAAGGGCTTCAGAAGCTGATGGCATAGTTATGAGAGGGGTGAAGACTGTGACTGCATTTCCAACAGACCCCGAGCACAACTGGGAAGAATGTGAGTATGGAGTCCTAATATCCAGTGCCATCTGCCCCATCTCCCTCTCCATCCTCACCCTTTGCCCTTCCACCTTCAGTTATTCATTAAACACTTGTTTTCTGAGCATGAACTGTGCTCCAGGCACTGGGCTGTGTGTTGCTGGTATAGCTAGCAAGACAGACTTGGTCCCTGATCTTATGGGGCACCCTTGCGGTCAGGGTGGGGTAGGGAGATACAACTAAGAAAACCAAGAACTATACTTATGGGAGGTAATGAGATGGAGAAAAAACTTGGTGCATGAAAGTGCAAGAAAAAATTTGGTGCAGGAAAGCATGAAAGAGAAATCCTGGTTCGCAGGTGAGGGAGGGTATCTGGGAGAAACTATGAGCCAGGCAGAATCATTTCCATTTCCTGTCTCTGTGGCTTACTTCCTCTCTCTTGAATATTATTCTGCATTTTGTTAGCCTAGTTAATAGGCTAGGGCATGGAGCAAGCTGGTTTAATCACGGCATCAAACAGAAGAGTAGATAAAGATAAGCTCATTTTACAGATTAAGAACCTGAGCTCAGAATTTAAATAATGTGCCAAGTTAACACAGCGATTGCTGGAGCTGGTGTGTCAAATCTCTGTCTTAGTCACGTCTGGTTTTTTTCAGCTGCATCGTATGTCAAGCAATCTATTTCTTGTTTAACGTCCGTTAAATGAACTGATGTCAGGAAAGCACCAGGCACATGCCTGTTACAAGAGAGTATGGTGGTTAAGAACATGGAGTTTTGAGTCAGACAGAACTGGTTATGTGTCCTCTTCTGTCGTTTTCTCTCTGGGTGACCTTGGTTATCTTGTTTTTCTGAGCTTCAGTTTCCTTATCTGGAAAATGAAGATAATAACAGCATCTACCTTGTTGGATTATAGGAAATGCCTGTAGAGATTCCTTAATGTAAATATGTTCTCCATAAATATTAGATATTTTTATTGATTTAGGCACTGAATATTTTTGAGCAATTTCTATATGATAAGCAGTTTTTAGGTAAGTATTTGTTTTTTACTCTGCTTTTTATCTATTTCTCCTCTTCCTTCTCTCTCACAACATGTAGCAAAGTTAAATGTTCAATGGCAATAAAAACGAGTGGGAAAAAAGAGAAGGATAAGACAACTGAGAGACAGAAATAGGAAAGAGAAAAGATAAGCTTAAGTGGAGACAAAGGCAAAGAAAGAAAACAGAAGAAAAGAAATCACAATATGGGTAACAGGAAGGAAGAGTGAACACTTGAGGAGAGTGGGTAAAGAGAGAAACTACTGAATCAGTCTTCTCCAAGCTATGAGCTTTAAAATATTTAAACTGCTTCAACACAAAACAGCTGTTTCTGTTGTGAGGCTATTCAAGTTGATCCAACAAGTTAATTTCTATGGTCCTCTTGGATGCAAGGATTGAAACTATGATTTTATTTGCCAGTTCTTTCAATTTTTCGATTTAATTCCTATTTTTTTTCTGCTTGAAGCCAAACAAGCTTAAAATATGAGGACTGAGGACGTAACAAAATGTGAATGTCAAAGAGAAGTTTCTATTGGAAATAGTGCTGTGGTTTGACAAGACCATTAGAAGCTGAAAACTGACATAAGCTTAATGTATATAAGTAGATAAGGCTACTCCCCAAGGGGTTCAATATGCTTTTATAGATTTATCATTCCATCTTCCTTCCAAGTTTTGTAGGAAAAATGAGATGATTCTTTTGTTTGCAAATTTACAGATAAATAAATCAAGATAGACTTGTGTAATAACTTGCCCAAGGTCACTCTGTGAAATGAATGGAGAAGTCAGGAATGTCGTCCAGTTCTCTAATTCTAACCCAGTAAATCTTAGCAGAGTAGTTTGTTTTTTAAAGAAACTCAAAACCTTATTGAGGAGCTGCAACTTGATAAATGAAATACATTCAAAATGTTTGGCCTTCTCTATTTTATTTCTTAGGTGTTGTCTGTACATATTAAATGTGGATGAGAATAACAAAAACCAATACATTATATTTGGTAGGAAAGAAGTAGAATAAGTTGGTGTTTTGACTATTAGGATTTAAACACTTCATCGGAATTCAGATATCTAATAGATTTGGGATATGGCTCATTAATATTTCCATGTATTTAGTTGTCTGAAATTAGTATTGGTCAGTCAGCCTCCCCTCCCCTTGCATTTCAAGTTAATGCCAACAATAATGTGTGTGTCCAAGAGGGTTATGGAGGAGCAATGGAGGGGGGCACCCTGACTCTGACACTTTGTTCTAATATACAGTTGTTATACAGAGTTCTTCCTCTTGTTCTCTGGAATGTGGTGAAGAGGAAGGAACCAGCTGTCTTGGGTTGCAATTTCAAAATGTCAAGTTTTCTTTTTATGTGTGTGTGTGTGTGTGTGTGTGTTATGGCCATGGATTGGCAAGAAAAAGGTTTTCACAGGCAAGGAGGATGAGTCCATAAGATGACCCTGTAATACGGGATTGGCTTGGGTACACCAGGGGGCCAGAGATATGGGTCATCCCTGGAGGCGGGAGTTGGGGTGCTCCCCTGGGATGGAGACTGAAAGTGCAAGAGAGAAGAAAGTTGTTGTGAGGTCAGGAGCATGGTGCCTGGATAGATCTTCAAAGTATGAAGAGCATTCGCTTTTGGGTCAGATCGCCCAGGTCCTCCACCTATTAATTGGGTGATTTTAGGACAATGTCATCATTCATGGCTCCCTAGAATCAGACCTTAAGTCAAGGGGTTGAGAGCAAGTTAATTAATTTAGCGTTGATTCCAGGAAACACTGGCAGGGACAGTAGGGAACTGAGAAAGGAAAGGCACAGAATATAGGGTGGATTATCGAGCAAGTTAGCACAGTGGGAATAGGAGCTGAATTCTACTGAGAAGCCCTCAGAGCAAATGTAGAACATATCTCCCCAGAGTTATTCCACACCATCCTGTCAGCTGTGGTTGAAGGTTTCTGCAGGGCCAGTTCTGGCAAGTCCAGTCTGCTCTACAGGTGGACAGGGTGGACTCACTCAGGCAGAGTCACAGGTGTGGGTAGTTGGTTGGAAGTCTGGCTAGAGTGCAAGAGAATGTTAAGAGATGAGTAAATATGAGAAGGCACAGCTAGCACTCTTACAGAGAGTCCATTAACATTCCTGAGTCTGTTTTCTCATTTTTAAAGTGGGAATTCCAAGAACTATTTTGGAAATGTTGAAATGCAAGTGATGGCATTGGCTGGGATCCAGGACCCCAAACACTCTGTCTTACCATAGTAAGAGATCCCAATTCTGTCTTCCTATATTCACTCTTCCTTTGGAAGTGTCCATGGTGTATGTTTGTGTCTATGCACACAAACAAGGCTGAGAAAAGGAACACCCTACAACTAGATGGAACCCTAGTCCTGTTCAGCTAAGACTATATAGATTTGTGAGAATTCTGTTGCTCAGAGAAGGCAATCCTAACTTTGGGCGGGAGGCCTCTTTGGACCCTTTAACCAAGAGCCATGCTAAAATATCAGCCCTCTGATTCTCAAACTCTGATACTGGGAAAAGGTAAGTCTTTTTGAGAATTAACTAGATAAATGCAGTTATAAAGTACCTAGTATGGTACCTGACATATACCATCTGGCATACAGTACGTTTCTCCAAAATGTGAATGCATGCTGTCTCTATGCCTTTCTTCTCTGATTTTCCTTAAATACCGGGCATATCATCTATAACGCTGCTTTCCTAACTTCACATTAAGATGACCATGGGAACAGGCCCTGTGTGCATAAGCAGTGACAGAGGTGGATGCTAATTCAATTAATAGTATCCATAGGCCAGTGGGCAACCAGTGAGGGGACCTGGAGCAAGAGACACTGTCCAAGTGCATAGAGAGTAACCAGCTAAATCAATGTGTCCATTTCCCTTTTGGGCTGTAGACTGGAAAATATGGAGAGTGGCCAGTTATTAAGGGGCAGGAGGAGAGATGAAGAGAGAAGAGGAGGCACAAAAGTAGCAGAATAGGAGTCTGAGACAGCATCTGAGTCAAGATAAGGTGAAACTGGGGGCTAGGACGTAAGTGACAGTCCTTTTCCAGGAAGCAGCATATACCTGCCCCCAACCCTGCCCAGCACGCCAATGCCTACTAGTCCAAAGCCACTTGAGTCCCGGGAGCAGCATTGCCATATGCGAGAGTAGTAGGGGCTCTAGCAGGAATGCATTCCATTCGTCTCACTGGATTAAGCATCTACTGGTCCCAGATCAGATTGGCCTGTGTCAACACCTTACAGTGACACACACGTCCCTCTGGCTTATATCACTTACATATTTGACAACTCAGCTATACTCAAGGCAGCTCCCCAAAGCCTGGTCTAAACCTCACTGGAGAGCAGGCAGCTCACACCCTGGCGCTACCACGTGTTACCTGGGCCCTGAGTTAGGAAGAGAGACTGCCTGTGGTATTAGATCATGCCAGGGGGATTCTGAGTCCATGCCAAGTGGGGTTTCTTTTCAGGATTTAATTCTGAGAAAGAATGCAAAGGAAGAATATAGAACTACACTAGCAGCAAAGCAGAAGGTCAGAAGGGAGGAGAGGAGTCAAGTGGGTTGTCATACGATGAGGTCAGAGTGAATAGAGCCCTAACGAAACTAAGCGAGCATCACATGGATATTTGCAAGTATGCATGCTTTCAGATACATTTTATCAATTTTATTTTTAGAATATTATTTCATTAACTCTAAGTTTTGAAGCTTTTGGGGGGCTTCCAAAATGGGTTACTTCTCCTAAAAAGTTGTACTTGATTCAAGACGCCAATTAAATGGGTACTGGAGGCAGCCATGGCCACAGCCTCTCTTTTTGTTCTCTTTCTTTGTGAGGGCAGTTATAAGCTGCACGGATCCTGACCTTTCGGCCTGAGGATGGAAGTCTTCAGTATCTGTACAACTTTACTCCCAAGAGCTGGTGTAGAATGAGTTCCTCCAGCCATGGGAGGATCGCAGAGGGGCGCCTGCCACCTGCAGCCCAGCCTTGGTAAGTGCAACATGCAGTTGGCAGAGGGGAGGGAACTGGGGGCACGCCAACCCTTTGTTACTTCCTGTAGGTACAGCCCAAGTCTCAGGAAGCAGAATATATCTGGGGTGGGGTGGGGTGGGGAGGTGAGGGGAGCTGTTTCTTCCCCCATCCATTACCTACTAGTCCAAAGCCACTTGAGCCATGGGAACAGCAATGCTAACCACAATAGCTGCAGGGACCTGGAAGGGGACTGGTGATGACATCCAACTGCAATGCTCTTTTACACTGAGATGCTGATGGACAGGAGTCTACCTAGTCTTCTCTAGAGACACACATATTATAAAGCAGGCAAGTATAACTCTCCAAACATTCCTTAGATGCTGTATCTTCACCCGCTTCCCTCACTGCAATTCTGTAATCTGCACCTTGGGAGGAACAAACACATCTTATTGCACCTTGCCCAGAAATAATATCACAGCTTATTAACTCCATCTACTCCCCACATAAGGGATAACGACTGTCCACAGGAGAGGTAAGGAAGTCTCAAGTGCCACACAGGGAATTTTCCTAAGGCCTTCCATCATTTTAGGCCACTAGTAACTCACCTATAGCCAGTACTGTAGCAAGATGAAAGTATATGGATTTGGGTACCATTCATCTGTAAAAACCAAAGAAAAGAATTGCACTTCTGGATTCATTCACAGACCTGTGGGAAGACCCTATTGTCTCACCTGTGACTCATGACCATGTTTTGAGACTCCCAAATCTCTGGAGCCTGCTTTCTCCTGAGCAAAGAGGGTTGTCTTTATTTCAATGGGCAAGGAAAGTCCATTTGTTTGTCTCTACTCCTGCCAGGGCTCCACTCTCCTTCAGTTACAGGAGACCTCCTGAAGCAAGGCTGGAGGGAGACGCTGCATGGTAAGAGTGAGTTTTGAATGAGTATGGATTGAGGGCTTCACATGCACCAGGTGCTGCACAAAATAATTGAGTTTAACCCTCACTCCAGCTCTGGCAGGTGGTTGAGATCATATCTTAATTAAATGTGCTCAGCATTTTACAATGGGCGATTAATTGCTGGAGTTGGGATTAAAATCCAGTCTTGTCTGGCTCCAAAATGGTATGTTTCTCACTACCTAACCCATGCTTCCCTCTCAGTGATATCACATCTGTAACTACAAGAGTGTTTCCTTGCTATCAGATCCAAGTGAATACAATCCTTTGTACCCAGTTACCTTGAGGTAGCCAAATGTGCTGAAGTCAACTCTAGGTAGAATGAATGAGGACATCACCCCACCTTTGGTTGCTTCAGTTCTCCAATTTAAAATAACCTATGTTGTGTACCAAGAACTGATGCTCTACTGAACAATCCCAAATACTTGGAATGACCAAAGTACTAGGCTCTTGCTCCTGGAAAACAATGATGTAAGCCAGCACTGCCTGGACTTCGGGTCTCTCCTCAGGCAGCATAAACCACACAGAGATTGTGATCATCTGCTCAGCTTTTATGCCAGCCTTGCAACAAATCTCCTTATCTTCATGGGATCTTTATCTTCTCTTCTGCCTCCACACTACTGTCAGAAACACATATACCTATACGTGGTAGTAACGGAGTAATAATATCTTCACTCCATCAATGCTGGTTTTTTTCAAGAAAATTTATTTTAAATCTCGGCATTTCCACAGCTGCAAATCTGGGAGAACGAGTCAGCACTTGTGGAGCTGTGTGTGTGAGCTGGATCGGGGTGAAAGGGGGTAAGCTGAAGGTATCTTTTAACCCCTGATAAACTCCCAGGGACCAAGCAACCTGGTCCCCATGGCTTTTTACCACTGAGATGCTAGCTGTATAATGCCATCTCCATGGTGATTTCTACAGTGAAGAAGAACATTTATTTCCTGCCACCAGTAAGAGACCACCTGAGTGTTCAGTTGCAGTATCTTCAACTCCCCAGATGCATCAGCAGCGCTGTCTTCTCTGGGCTTCTTATAGAACTCATTTTTAGCAAAGTCAAGTTTCCATACTCTAGGTATTAACTTATCAGATAGTGGTCAAAAAGATGGAAGCAAAACATTTTCATGTACTGCATTTCAGTTACTTTCTCTGGGGTTTTATCACCCTTCAGGTGGTTGTCCCCAAAATAACAGGTGTCATTCTGCTCCATGAATCACGTTCCCCTACCTTTATCAGGGCACTTTTCTCTTCAGCAGCATCTTCAACGCATTTCCAGTTGCCCGCCCTGAACTGTTTCAGAATGAGGAGGACACCTGGAGGAATCTACAGGTGCATAGACCAATTTGCAAAAGAGCCTGTGAGCCAACGTAGGTTGTGAGATGCATATCCCACATCCAGTTCAGCCCAGTAACTTGGGAAATGGGGGAGAGGTAGCGCTGAAGACCAGACTTAGTACATTTTTACCCCCACCCATGCTTGCAACTGTAAGTTGATCTTAAATCAATCAGTACTTTTAACCAAGTCAACCTCAATCACTGGAATAGGATACCCAGCTGAACAACTTGAGGTCACTGAATCAATCTCTTATCTGTAAGAGAGAATGATGCCTACCCAATGGGGTTCTGAGAAATACGTAATGCCTGACATGTAGTGTATACGCACTGAATGTGGTTTTTAACCACAACCTTTATATTTTTGCCAAGAGTATCACCTTCCTGCAGCAACCCTGAGAACCTCGCACTACTCTTGTCTTAGATTGCGCATTCCTTTCCTATACTTAGACACCAAACTCCATTCATTTTCCCCTTGAAATGTTCATTCCCATGATCAAGATTTTGCTTAAACACATTTTGTTTTCATGTCCAGATTATCATCTTAGCTGGAAGAACTAATAAGCAACACATTCACCCAAGAAGTATTTACCGAGCACCTACCACGTGCACTATTTTCTGGTGTTGGGGCGAGGGGGCAAACGACTCTGGCAAGTCTCTGTTCTTAAGGTACTCACATTCATACGGGTGAAGATAGATAACAAACAAGGAAAAAGTTGGACAGACAAACAATTTGGGTGGTGCCGAGTATGATGCAAACACTAAAATGGTGATGCAATAGAAGATGTCAGAGGGAGAGTGGGAAGGTTACATTAAATAGATGTCCAAGGAAGATCTCTCTGAGGAGAAGCTACTAGGGCTGAGACCTTAATGACAACAAGGAACCCAAGGGCTGGCAGCAGAGCGTTTTGAACATGGCCAGTGGGTGCAAAGGCCCCCACACGTGAATGGGCCTGGCCAGGTGGAAGGACAGAGGGCAAGGCTGTTGTGGTTGCCCTGTGAGTGTGAACGGCCCAAGATGGGATGAAAGAGGAGGTTGGGACCACACCTTATAGGGATATCAGATCATGGTCAGGGCTTTGGATTTTAGCAGGGGTGCAGTATAAGCCATGGGGAGTTTTAGACAGGTACAGAAGTAATTTACATTTTCTTTTCTTTCTTTTTTCGAAACCGAGTCTTGCTCTGTCACCCAGGCTGGAGTGCAGTGGCATGATCTCGGCTCACGCCAGCTCCACCTCCTGGGTTCACGCCATTCTTCTGGCTCAGCCTCCTGCGTAGCTGGGACTACAGGCTCTCACCACCACACCTGGCTAATTTTTTGTATTTTTAGTAGAGATGGGGTTTCACCATGTTAGCCAGGATGGTCTCGATCTCCTGACCTCGTGATCCGCCCGCCTCGGCCTCCCAAAGTGCTGGGAGTAATTTACATTTTCTAAAGCGTACTCTGCCAGCCAAGTGGCAAACAGACTTGGGCCTCGTAAGAGCGGAAGCAGGAGGAAACCCGAAGAGCCTGGAGAGAGACTGGTGGCTGCTACCAGTGGGGATGGAGCATAAAGGAAAATACAGGTTACAGTTTCAGGAAAAATTTCATACCAATTTCCCGAGATCATTTCTGAACTCGAATATTTTCAGTGCCCCCACATTGTGTTTCCTGCTGAATCAAGTCCTAATCACTTCGGTTTTTAAAGCCTTCCATGATACTTCCCTGAACACTGTAGCTTTCACTGATGGCCGGCTTTTTCAAACTCCCATATGATCCATAGTGTATAATTAATAAGCAAACAAGGAATCACACACTATCTGCTATTCTGTGCAGTGTTTCAGGTTTTTAGTCTTCTCTTTCAAGATAGAAAATCCCTTTAGAATAGGAACTCTGCTGGCACTTTCTTCCACATCCTCCATAGCACTTAGCACAGTTCTGTACACAAGGCACGTGTGGAAATTGCTTATTGATGGATTAAAAGCATATATCACTGGCATTTGTCTCTTCAATATTTCTCTTGTATGAAGAAGGGTGATTATCTGTCAATATTCATTGCATGATTGAACCGATGTGCAATGCATTAATCATCACTGAGATCACCAGATGAGGCTTTATTGTAATCTCCTTCTATTTTGCTGAGATAATTTCACTTGCTTTGGAGTTTATGAGGCCATAAGTGGCTCCCATCTGTTGATGAACATATTTCTAAGAGTCATTTAGTCTCAAGTATGGAATACTTGAGGGGAAGTTAAATTGTAACTTTTATATTAAGTGTCATCTTAGTAACAGAACCAAAATTGGAAGCATGTGTTCAATTTTGGTTTTTCATTTTCAAAGCTTTAGGTCAGGCAAAGAATTAATTTCATTTGTTTACAAAGTAGATTATGCCTAATAAAATCTATTTTGTTTATGGTCACATTTTAATCAATCCACTGCTTTAGAAAATGAGAGAATTCTGATTGGCTAATCATTCAACATAGTAAATTACATTATTCCACATCCACAGAACACTGGCCTAATTGCATTATCCAGTAATGATGAAAATATCCCTTTTAATACATTTTGAGCAATGCATATACCAGTGGTGAAAAAGGGAAGAATCTTGTTTATTCCATCCTTGTTTGATGATCGACCACAGAATATAACATAACACTTCTGTGTATAAGAATTTTTTCCACACTAAGAATAATAAAGACAAGGTAGTTTTCACTGGATCCTTACTGGTACTCTGAATTTTCACTATTTGTCCGCATTT